AACAGGACTCAGCACCATCACACTCAGCACACGCCACCCAAGAATGGTTTCAAAATGAGGTTCCTCGCTTCATTTCCAGCGCACAATAGCCACCAAAATCTCCGGATACCAATCCGTGTCTGGAGTATTTTGGAAAGCAAGGTTGGCACTAAAAAATACCAAAGTGTCGATCACATCAAGCAAGCGCTTCGCCGGGAATGGACCAAAATACCGCTGAGCAACATTCGAGCAACCGTTTCATTTGCCGTTTGAAGGCCATAATTCGTGCCAAGGGTGTACAATTCGAACAAATCTAAACTTATTCGAAAATTTGACGCTATTTCCGACATTTTTTAAAATAAAATTAAAAAAAATGATCTCACCTTGTATATACTTTATGGGGTCTATGACGAATACTCAGAGGTGTTACAAACGGAGTGACAAATTCAAGATATACCCTCCTTTCCAAGGTGGAGGGTATAAAAATAGAATATACCCTATATATTATTTAACAGGCAAAAGTTACACTAACATCAAGACATTTGGCAGATTATAAATATGGATTATAATTGATCCCAAAATTTCGTCTAGGTTACAATAGATCACGTACTTGTTAGTTATTTGTTTTTTCTGTTCGAAAATTGACACTAACTACCATTTTCTTAAGCTGCAGTTTATTGAAACTTTCCCAAAAGGGAAGAAAATGATGAACAACAAACTTTGTCTGAGCTATTTTTTTGTGCCTGTCCTCCAGTTCATTCTTCTTCATTTTGTCGTGTTCTTTGCAGATTATTTGCACAACAAAGTTAATATAAATCCAATTATTCCATAAAACCATATCTATTGAATACTAATGAAGATGTTTTCCTGCCTTAGATTTCGATACTTGGCGGACTTTTGTAACGACGAAGCAAAGGCGGCGACAAAAGAAGTTGAAGAATAAATTGTTGATACATAATCCATAACATGATAATCTCTTCGTTCGGTCCGTCCGTCCGTCCGTTCGTCTGCCAGTCTTTGGCAGTCTGTCTCTATTCCGTATTCCCTGTGCGTTGTTCTTTCACAAATCTTTATTTTACAAATCCTTTTGTATTTTGTGCAACACACTTTGCAAACTTTTCAGTTGGCATTATGATGATCTTCCCAGACATGACGGTTTGGGGGGTGGTGAGGGTGTTGGCGGTCTACACCGACGCACAAATCAGGGTAGTAAATAAAAACAAAACAACAATACTTGCAGCCAAAAGGAAAAGTTGTTGTCGTCTGTAGGTTTCGTTTAGATTTTATGCATTCATTCACTCGTTCACTCATTCTCCGACTCATTCCGTCATTTGACATATTCTGTACATTAAAGTTTGTAACTCTTCCGCTAAGTTGTAATGTAATACGAACAGGCAGCCAAATAGAAAAGCAGCAGCAGCCGGCATGCTGGAGTCAGATATATTTCCATCCTTCATAGCCTTCAACTACTCCGTTGATGTCGTTCGTAGTTTTTCTCCAAACCACCTTTAATAAAGTCATAAATATTTATGAAAAACTTTAGTTCTACGCTTCTGTTTTTTTTGCTCTGCCTTGCTTTGTTTTGTTTATAAGTTCCATCCTATTGCCAAGCCAAAGAATGAAGAGTCTACGGAGTTTTTTGTTCCGTTATGTTTTGTGTGCCAATGCAAGTGGCAACTGTACACAGACACAGGGTACACTCGAAAAAAAACGGGGTTTCAATTAAATTATGAGGTTAATCAGCTTAAAAAGTTAGAGTGCAACAGTGGTGTTTTTGTCAAATGTTTGGCAGGGAGGGTGATCGATGGGAACGCTGGGAATATTATATTGGCAAAGTAAACTTCTTTTTTTATAAAATATTCATGGGGAAAAATCATTCAAACATTTCCCTGTGTTCTTACGTGGCATATTTGTCAGGAGCTGTATGTCGAAAACAAATTTCGACAAAATATTATTTTCTTTAGGTTATAAGAAAACAAATTCCGATTTCTAAAGAATATTTTAACAGGTACTTGTTTAGTTTTTATCAACTCTTGTGTTGATGGAAATTTTGAATGGAATCGGATCTTGTTTTATGAGCTCCATGGCTATTTAAAATGTTGACCCTTTGTAAGAAGGAAGGTACCACAAGGAATGGACCGATATATTCCATCTTTACAGCAGATCTTGTGTTAGTAGGAATAAATTGCAACCTTTTTTGTGGAGGTACTAGAAGTAGTGGACCGATATTGCCCATCTCCGAACTCGATCTAAGTTTTACATAATATTACGATGTGCCAAGTTTGGTCGAATCGGATACTCCCCTCGAGAGTTATCGTTCGCACCAGGCAGACAAACGGACGGACGAACATCGCTAGATCGACTCCAAATGTCCTAAAACTGATTTGGTCCAAAGAGACTTAGGTCCAAACCCGTTATTTCGATGAGGCACATTTTGGCCGTATCAAATGATGTATACCCTCTGTAGCCATAAGGCTGAGGGTATAAAAAGTGGTATAAGAGAATGCAAATTTTCTTGAAGTTCTCTTAAATTTGGCTACGTAGGGAACGGGTTTTTAGCATTAAATTTCAAAAATGGTAAAATTTTGGAGATTCTTGTTCATAAAAAAACAAAACTTTCATATTCGGAACATTCCATATGATTAATTTAAATCATTGTATTTATACACCTCCCTGCATATGAGGAATATTGATGTTACGTATACGCCACATTATTAGGCAGTACTATGCACGGTTTACAAGATCCATGATTTATTAAATTAATCATAACTTTCCTAACCTAAGTTTGATACAAGTATTGCCATTGAAACATTTTGGCAGTACTATGCACGGTTAATTGCCATTCGTCTTTTGTCGAGTGTATGAACTCGAAAAGTTTTCTATCAGACAATACAAGCGATGATCTGAGCAGAAGATGTGGAAGTGGAAAATAAAAATAAATGAAAAGCCATTATAATGAGTTAGCTGTTGCTCATCAAGCCATAAGTTCTTCCTGTTTATACTTCGCTTAAATGATACCAACTACAACAACATCAACAGCAACAGCAACTACTAGAAAGAAATAAAGCACCAGCAGAGGTAGCCGTAAAACAACAGCCAAACAAACAAATTGTAAAACACCAAGTGCAACAACAACAGCAGCAACATCAGCAGCTACAACGCCATAAGTTGCAGCAGTAACATTGAGTGTTAGTAGTGGCCCCAGTCCCAATGATAGTAACACAATAATAATAACTAAGAAGCTAGACGAATCAAGTCCTGGCAGCAGCGAGTGGAAACAACGGGGAACGAGAGCTCACCAAGTGCAGTGGGTGAACAGAGGAAATTATGCACTTCACTACTGCCACTGTTCCTCGTCGTTGTCGTCATCGTCGCCGTCGTATCTTTATGTTTGCATAGCACAGGATGCAGGATATATAAAAAATACTGCTAAAGTTTATTATACGAAAGGAGAGAAAAATAGAACCCAACACAAGAAAAAATGAATGCAAAGTTTGAGGGGTGAGGGAGGTGGTAGGTAGGTGGTATCGGAGAAAAAATGTTGTCAGGTGGGATTGTTAGAAGGGATTGTCACTGTCGAATGCCAGTAATGAAGAGCTTTACAAGAAAAGTAACATTTGTTTTGCTCAAAACGTTAAGGTTATCATTTTAGACTGGGGAAAAGGTTAATGATCTTTGAATAACAAACAACAAAAACACAAGCGAATGCAAACGACTTTTGTTGTTGTTGTTGGTATTTTTCATAGCTCTGTTGAATTCTTTAAATAATCAAAATGGGGAGAAAATTCAATTTAAATTTTATTTTCCAAATGTTGTGAAGGGAAAAGTACGACAAAAAAGATTAAAGGTTTGTAGAATACCAATATAAAAAATTTTCTTTTAATTTAAAAAGTGAAATAAGAATAAATGAATTCTGTAAGAATCTTTAGTCTCAGTGATATTAAGTTTAAATATCAGATCTCCAGCCAAGGGAAGTATTTTTTGTCATTTATTCAAAGAATTTCACATCTCGAAAAATTCAATTTCGAGAAAAAAAAACATTTTAAGTTGTTTATTGACATTTTACGGGATCAAAATGATTATTTCACAAAAAGTAATATAACTAGACTATTATCTTCGGATATCAGTGCTAAATTACAAGATCAAGCTTCTTGATTTATATCAAACTCCAAGTAAAAAGGCACTAACTCCTAGTGTTCAAAAGATTTCAACATATTTTTTTTACAAAAAAAAATAAAGTAAGATTCGTTACAAAAATAGAAATTGCTAACTCAACAAAAAAAAAAACGTGACCCTTGTAAGCCATCATCCACATCAAATATGCCTGATGAGCCGCTTAACCAACGGCGAAACGCGTCGCATAGTGGTGAGTGTGTGATAGTGTCTATCTGGCTTTCCTTTTCACTGCAAATTTCAGATCGTTAAGCTCGTCTCGAAAGAGAAAACAAACAAAAAAACGTTATTAAAATAATGTCATTATTTGAGTAAATGACCGATAAGGTTTTGTATAGGTACCTGCGTGCGTATGAATACTACCATCAAGTATTCGCTATTGTGGTTCAATGCAAAAAATGCAGGAAATGGTTTTTATTTGTGGGAATTTCAAATTAATTAAAATCATTTGGAGGGCTAAACCTGCTACTAGGGTATTTGGAAAATTTGTCCCAATTTCTTTAAATTAAACATATACAACAAGGGCTATTCAGTATAACATTTAATTTCTTTTCTACATTAATTGAGTTTCAATTCTCCCCCAAGGATTGGTTGAATCTCAAGTGGGAGATTTATTCTCCCCACTAATTTAGTAACTGCATTTACCAACTACACACAACCCCCAGTATAAAGATGCCACATAAGAACCTCAAGTAATTACCTTACATACTAAAATTCGTAGCATACCTTTAGGCTGATAAGAAATAACATTTTATGGCACAATTCTTGACTTTCGATACTAATTCTTTTTATTGTTTTTTTTTTCTTCTCTCTTTCTCCTTCTTTTTTTTTTCATATCCAAATTGCAGACTTACTTTACATTTGATTCTCGGGCCGAGCAACAAACTGAGGTCTACCCCCGCTATGGTCCACATCCGGAATTGTATCCCAATCGCCGGGGGGAAGTTGTACAGGGGTAAGTAGAAATAATTTTGCAAATTGTTTTCGGCAACAAAACCAGCTCTCCGTCGTATGGCCCTGCTTAGGTGTTGTACTCACGCTCCTAAATGGGTAATATTGGCAATAATTTAATTTTATTTCTTTCTTTTTTTTTCATTTATTGTTTTTATTATTTTTATTATTATGCGTAAAGCACTGCCAAAAGTGATGGCTGCCATTCAAATTTCCTGCTAAAGTGCGTGAAAAAATATAACCATAATCATATTTACGCCTTAATAAAAAAAGCTAATACAAACATTCTCACATCCACTCGGAGCTAAGTTGGCCACAACAAGACCCAAGACAAACACAATTGTGGAATGTGTCCGTCCCACTCCCCTCTCTTTCCCTGCTCCCACTCCACTCTTAAATGTAATGATAACGACATCAGCTTTGAATTTCTTTTTTTTCCTTCCCCATTGCAAGAAATTTGCCCTTAAGCAGGGAAATGTGTGTGTGTGTGTGTATGTCGCTACATTTAGTGGTTGTGTAGTAACAATAACAGTACCAGAACCAATACTACGAGCAAAGTCAATATCGATATTGTTCAACATCGACAACAACAATACAAGTCAACAATATTCCGCATCGAACTCGTGGCAATGTTGCGTTTTGCTCTACAAGAAATTCAATTACCGTAAAACTCGATAAACATTGGCTTTTCATGACAATAAACAAAACGAGCTTTGCTTTCTTATGGCCCGGGCATCCTGGCATCTGACTTTCTTCCTCCAGCCCAGTGCGCTGCTGGGAAAAAGTAAAAGTTCAATTCCTTTAAATTAAGTAAATAATTTAGACTACAAGCTATTTACTGAACTCAAATTTTAAATTCAATTATTGCCATTATGGGAAGGAAAAGCAGAAGTAGCCTCAGGGCCCACTTTGACCAAAAAGCAGTGAATTTGAAATGAATTGAAATCCCATACCACTTGAGTGTTTTTGAGTGGTTATTTGAATTTATTTAATTTTCAAACGAAAGATTTTTTTCCGATTTTTATTGATTTTCTCATTTGATTTGAAATTCACTTCCACCTACCTACATCAGTCGTCAATAGTTGCAATAATTGCCTGGGGGAAAAAAATAAAAATAAAGATATCCATTTGTGTTTTTTTGGTTTTTGTCTGTTGTTCATTAAATTAAATGTCTACTCAAATTGTTTATGGAAATAAAAAAAATGTTATGGCACAAATCTATTTATTACAATAGTCATTGTAATTGAATAAAATGTATAGCATATGCTAAGGCAAATAAAAATATTATTTTCAAAATTTGGTTTACTTTAAGGCTTGGAATTTACAAATGAATGGAAATTTTTGTGTGTGTGTGGGCCATAAGAGCAATATTTGAGTATTAAATTTTTAGAGAGAAAGCATGTAGGGAGAATAGGAAAAAAATCAAAGTAGGACATGGTCGACTGTTTGGTACCCTACACCAATCTGGTTTATAGAACAATGGAATAATGGATCTTAACCGATTTTGATAACATTTTACAGGCACATTCCTTGGGTTCAAACGACGTCACTTCCTGTTTATCATTAAGAATAGGACTTTCATTGGAGCTATATTTATATATGTAATTTTTTAAGTACAAACAGAGTGTGCATAAAATTTTGCCACAGACCTCAGAAATACTCTCTCGAATTAAAATATATTTGATACCGCTCGAATAAGAGCGAACATGCTTTGAGTGGGAGCAACTTCGCTCAGAATCGATCAGATTCTACCCTTGCCGAGCACACTTTCAGTTTTTGTCATACTGTTGTTGTATTTGTATTAGCGTTCCTTTTGTAAATCTTCGAAATATTCATAATAGACTCTACAAAGCATATATATTCTGAATCAGCGTAAAATTCTAAGACGATCTAGCGATGTCCGTCTGCCTATCTGTCTGTCTGCTGTCTGTCCGTCTTTATTAATATAACCCATATATAATATAACCCATATAACGGTACCTCCCGATATTCGGCATTTTGATGATTTTAACGACATCATTCATGCGAATTGTTTCAAATTTTGTATTCGAAGTTTGTAGTGTATACCACAGCCTATGCCTAAAAATTTCGTATGCATGTCCACGTCTTCATAAAGCCCCCATATAACAGTACCTCCCGATATTCGGTATTTTCATGATTTTAGCGACAATATTTACCCGAATTGTTCCAAATGTCGTCTTAAAAGTTCGTAACAGGTAGTACAGCCTATGACAAAAAACTCGTATGCTGCTCCACGTCTTCGTATAGCTCTTATATAATGGTACACCCCTTTATTCGGGAGGCTTTGCGACATTATTCACCGCAATTGTTTCAAATTTCGTATATGAAGGTCTTAATGAGTACTATAGCCTTTGACAAAAAAGTACTTATATTCAGTTCAAAGTTTCGGTATAGCCCCTGTATAAAACTCATCATTTTAACGGTATTTTTCGGGATTTCTAAACATTTTTCAAGTTTTTTTCTTTGGCGGAGGGTAATTAAAGTTCGGTCCGGCCGAACTTAGATGTTTTTTTACTTTTCACATATAAATTTTGCATTTCACTTGGTCAAAGAAACTTACTCTTTTGCTCTCCCATAGTTCACAGCAACATCGAACGCGATTTGATGTTACACACACAAATGAAACCCCCACTCTTCGAGCACTCCCGCTCACGAGCTCTGGTTTATGGATCTATATTTTTCCCCTCGATCTATCTTTTCTCTCTCTCTCTCTCTCTCTCTCTGATTTTTAATTAAACAAAAATAAGACCAACATTGAAGTTATATCAAAATTCAGAAATCTTCCACAGAAATGTTATGGCTGACCATACAAATTGTAGATTTCCATTCCGCCTCTTTTAGTCCTTCAATTCCTCTACAGCATTTCACATTACTTTAAACATTTAATATTTTATTTATCACAATCTCCTCTCTTCTTTCAGATCGTATTGTGAACGAGAATATCGTGACTGCCGCCTACAGACCTGTTACGTTCAATCACCTGCCTATCCCGGCCTATATCCCAGAGCCTTGAACTGCCGCTACAAACTGCACACACGCCAGCCTTATATAAAATTGTATTTGCAGAACGAACAGTTTGCGGTCGATGGTCAAAGGTAAGTTTCAAGTGGCAAATGAGAAAACTTTTCCAAATAACAACAGCAACAACTTTTTAAGCACCCGCGAACAACTTTTTAAACTCTCGTGCAAAAGGAGATGAAATAAAAAACAAAAGTTGGCACATGGATCGGTCACAAGTCGCTCGGATGCAAAGGACGAGCAAGAAATTAGCGTTTATTTAGTTGTTAGTAATTTGTCATTTTGGCACGTTTCCGTTCTCGGGGTTTTTTTCCACAACTTGTTAGGAAATAAAAACAAAAAGAATTCTGCCGAGGTTCCAAGAACTGTTATGTCATTTCTTCAACACCAGCCAACTGCTGTTGCTGGCAGCTGGATCTACTCATCCAGTTGACTTGGCTTCGCCTTTGCCCGAAAAGTGGAAATGTGGTGGAATTCTTCTGGCACAGTGACAATGGCAATTTGACAAACCTAACAAATTTGTGAAAGCAGTTTGGCCATTTGTTTTGGCAGATCATTCCATAAACTATCCCAGCTCACACACACACGCCGACACACATAGTCGCAAAATCACTTTGGAGAAAGCATCTTAAAGTGCTGCCATGTGATTTTCTCAATAAAATGTAAATCGTTATATTTATTTAGCTCCCTCCCCTCTCCTCCTATCAGCACTCAAGAGAAGTACAAAGTTTTGTTTTTTTTTTCCGATATTTTTGAAATGGAATTTTAGAATGCAAAAAGCATTTCCAAGAAACACTAAAAATAAAAGTTTTGCCATCATTTGCAAATGAAGACAAAAGTTTGTCTTCATTGCTCCCTCTGCTGCTGCTGTTGCTGAAGCTTTTGTTATCCCTCAAATGTTTAAACAGTTCGATCTTTCTCGGGTTTTCCGCTTGTTTTTGGTCGGGGCAAATCTCCCTCGTCTGAGGCGACAACCAACAAATTTAAGTATTTATGTGTTATCAATGAAGAAAAACAAAAAACAAAAAAATATGAAATCATATTTCCCCTCAAGACTTCCAGAGCGCGAGGCGCTCAAAAAAAGTTATTCCAATATTTTTATGATTTCATTTCGCATCTCATTATGGAGTTTGAACTTTTCTATCGAAAACGTGAATGGCTACAAACGATGTCAAAAACAAAAAGTGTGTGTGTGTGTGAGGGGAGAAGGGGGAAGGAAAGTTCGTGTGATTTCCCCATCAACACCAAAAAACACACTCATGTGCGTATGTGTGCTTTAGGGAAATCAAAAGTCAGACTATTGCGCTATGAGTTTTATCTCTTCAACTATCAGTTTTCTTTTTCTCACTCATTTCTGTTTATGTGTGCAAATGTGTATGTGCATGTGTGTGTGAGTGTTGTAGAAATTTATGGGGTGTTTGTGCATTAAAAAGTTTTAAATAACTGTTTATTGGAATTGATGCGTTATGAAAGTTCTGCGTAGGTATGTGGCGCCTTCTGTCTGTCTCTCTGGATGTAGGTGTATGCGTGCGTCTGTTTTCATCGAACAACTTCGTCATCCTCATTTGCGGTTGCCAGTTCAAATGCGTAAAATCAAAATTCAAATTATGCTTAAGAACTCATCAGAATCTGTTTTTAAGTTGCCAACAACTTGTTTTCATCGATTTTTGTTTCGTTTCGTCATTCGAATATCTATCAGCGCTTTGATGAGCAGTACTGAGGAACACTGTTTACCATTGGGTAAATTAGTTAGTCCACAGCCACAAGGGAGCAACAGGAAAAACTTTGTGAGACTTTTTATAAAGACGTTGTTTGACTTGATTTTAAAGTTGTGCGGAATGGTGGTGAAGAAGACCAGGAGAAAATTAGGTTAGGGTCGCCTAAACAGCCAAGATTCTAGATTCAGGTTAGTACTTCTTTCAAAACGTCAATGGAAGTACAAAATACAAATAATTGCAATTTAGAACTTCATTATTGTTGAATGCTAAAATGGTGCAGATGCTATGCAATGTCCAAAGAAGGATACAACTTTAAAAGGTAACAGTCCAAATTGCCGTGATTCATAAAGGTTTGACAAATTTGCTGGAGAGGTACCAGAATACAGGGTGAAATGAAAAACCTGCAACCAACTTCAGACTGCTGTCATTGCCACACATCCGAGATTCCAACAGGATCGCACCATCGCTTTCAGTACGCGCCACCCAAGAATGGTTACAAAATGAGGTTCCTCGCTTCATTTCCAGCACACAATGGCCACCAAAATCTCCGGATACCAATCCGTAGGACTATTGTGTCAGGAGAATTTTGGAAAGCAAGGTTGGCACTAAAAAATACCAAAGTGTCGATCATCTCAAGCAAGCGCTTCACCGGGAATGGGCCAAAATACCACAGAGCAACATTCGGGCAGCGTGTGATGGTTTCATTGTCCGTTTAAAGGCCATAATTCGTGCCAAAGGTAACCAATTCGAACAAATCTAAACTTATTCTAAAATTTGATGTTATTTCCGAATTTTTTTGCATTCATTCAATAACATTTAAAAATTATGGCGAATTTTTTCTCACCCTGTATGTATGGGACTTATGGCTATATTTTAATCGATTTTCAACTCATTTGATGCACTTTCGTCCAGGTTGAATTCGTTCGTATGAGCCAAAATCCATTCAGTTCGGACATATATTTACCATTTGGTCCGCAATAAACTTGATATCAAATAAAGATATATATGGAAGTTATATACAAATCTGAACGGATCTTGATACAATTTGGTGAACATATTTCTGAGCTATATTTTTCCGATTACCATCGTTACGGAGTTAATATTACGGTTGTAGAGGACAAAAATAACAAATCGGATGATTAATATATATATCGAAGCTATAGGTATATCTCAACCTATTTCCACCAAATTCGACTTACTTATTTCTATGTTTAATATGGTCGAATCTGCCAAATTTGGGCTATTATTACACAATGTTGGCACAATAAAAAGCAAATCCGACGAAGATATGTGTGGGAGCTATATGTAAATTTTGACCGATTTTCTGCAATTTCAATAGGGTTCGTCCTTGGGCCAAACAAAAATTTGTGTGTAAATTTAATCTCGATCGGGGAATAAATGCGACTTGTACTTTGTTTTCAAGCAGACATGATTCGACGGACAAACAGACATGCATAAATCGACTCAGAATGTGATTCTATACAGATCATCAAATGGAGCTGTGGGTCTATCTCGCTTTCTTCTCCATGTTACAAACAAATGTACAAAGACATAATACCCTGACCACCTTGTGGTGTAGGGTATAAATATTATGCCTAGCAATTCCACACAAATCGTTGGAATTTTTTTCTACCAAAACACAACTCAAAACAACGTCTTACGCTCTAATTCAGTTAACCCTTCTACTTTTGTTTTTTTTTTTTTTCACCGCAAAGACTTGTGATAGAACTGTAATCCCCTATTGCAACCTGCATTGGAAAATTTCTAGGAAATCTTTGCCAAATCCTGTAGATTTTTTCACAAACACCCTTCATCTATAACCGTTTCTTTGAGAATAACCTCAAAATAGCATAAGCAAGTCATTCATTATCTGTGAAATTCAATTTCCATTTCCCACCCCCCACGCCAGCAACGGATTTTTCGTTAAAGCATTTTCCCAAATTCAATTCTTGGTAATTTGATTTAAATAAAAATCCAGCGACTAACGTCAACATTCCCATTATGTTGCTCATTTCTTTAACTGGCATTTACAACAACAAGCTGGGAATGAAAAGAAGGAATAAAAGAAACAACAACAACATTTTAATGACACTTTCTAATCAATTAAATGCTCGAACTGAACACAATGAATGGCAGAAAATCTAATCACCGATCTTTTGCATGGCAAAACATTGATTGAAAAGTGCTACGAAGTCGATACGCTTTCGATTTCTGATAGAAACCAATACAAATTGCTGGCGTTGTTGTTGTTCCTCTTCTTCGCATTGCCGGGTCCAAAACCCAGCCACCAATACCACAGCGATGGAGTATCTGTCAATTTAAATCTGTTTCAATTCCGCCTGCCATTCCTGTCTTCAGTTGATTTTCTTTCACTTGGTTCAATGAATATGAATTGGGAAAAAAGAGGGCAGAAGGATGACGAAGTGGGGGATAGAGAACTGACAAGATGTAGACACAGCAATGTTCATACATTAATTTCCGTTTACGGAACATCAAAAAAGAAACAGAGAAGAAAGACGAACGAATGAAACAAATTCCTAATAAAAAAAGAAGAAAAAAAAATCAAGCGACAGTCGTTGTCGTGGCCATCGCCGGACCGACCGTCAGACATTAGGTCTTCGAGTTAAATAAGCAGATATTTGCTATGCAGACATTCATTCCTTCATTCATCCATCTCCTTGGATGGCTGACTGAGTGATGTACAGCGGGTAAATGTGGCACTCAAGAAATGTCTGAGTGACCCTGTGCTCCTTGCACAAGGACACTGCGAGTGGCCAGCTAACAAATGTTCTGCTCAGGTCGTTTATACGCCATACAAATGTTGCTCGTGTACACATTTGTTAAACTGAATGGGAATTTAGTTGGCCAGATAGCTGGCTTCCTTATCGTCATTACCGGCAAGGATTCCAAAGTTACTGTTACTTTTGTCGTTGCTTCCTTTTTTTTTTGCTGGAACAGGATTCCTTTCGTTATCATTACGTGTTCATTGAACATTAATGCCAAGGAAATAAGTGGAAGGAGTGATGATGGGTAATGCAGCACAGAACCGAGGAGAGAGAGAATGAAAACAGGAATCTGCAAAACAAATTCAAATTAAAAGCTTTGTGGAAAATGCAAAAGAGATGGAGGAAAAACCGAACAAGAAAAAATGGAAATACCCCCAAGAAATTCATTGAATTGTTAAACACTTTAGTTTATCTAAAGCTGTTCGTGATATTAAACAAATAAATATTTGAGGGGAAACTAAAAAGAACCAAAAAAAAGAAAACAGGGGAGGAGTTCCAACAATTAAACTGGGCAACAAAATTTAATTTAATTCGAAAATTACACCACCAATACCACAACGAGGGAAATGGAGA